GCTGCGGCTGCGGCTGGAGGGGTTCCAACCACTTCTCAACGGACACTGCTGCACCTGCGGGGTGGTCCATGCCCGGGAAGTGGGGAAATAGAATTGATGAGGTGTATTGTTTCTGTTGATCAGCAGGGAACTGAGGAAGTGGATGGTATTGCTGCTTGTCGGCAGCTGCAAAGTTTCCGCGAGTCGCGGGGAACTGAGAAAGTGGGTGGTATTGCCACTGGTTGGCAGCAGAAAAGTTTCCGAGATCAGCGGGGGACTGAGGAAGTGGGTGGTATTGCAGCTGTTTGGCTGTCTGAAAGTTTCCACGAGCAGCGGCTCGCTCGCGCTTGTGAGCGTTCTGATGGCCGGCGAGAGCTTGGGAGGTGTCGAAGTTCTGGGGACAGTAGAGGCAAGGAAAACGTAGCGGAGATGAGGTGGTGGACGGAGATGCTGCATGCCTGGTGGGTTTGGCTGCAGAAGTCTGGCTCTGGCTCAAGAAGTTGGACATGGAGGGGTCTGCCATTGAAGTTGCGGAAAGGGGGAGAAGGTGATGAAATGGAGTTGGGTGGTGAGGAGTGGGGGATGGTGAAGTTTATTTATACACACACAGTAAGGATAGGGGATGCAGCAAGGAGTGGGAGATGGTGAAGTTTCTATCTGCAGAGTAAGGATAGGTGATTCGGCATCCACAAGAATTGAAGGTGGCAAGGAAATTTCTTATATTGAATTTGGTTTTAGCGGCAAGGGGTCACCAGGTTAGTTTAAGAAAGTGGCGAAGAAATGAAAATTCTTACATTGAATTTGATTTTAGCGGTAAGATGTCTCATCCGGTTAGATTAAGTCGTGGGTTAAAAATGGACTATTTATTTCAGAATTAATGAATTTTCAAAAAAAATTAAATTTTAATTAATAAAATAAAAAATAAATTATTTTTATTAATTAAATCACAGTTTTATAAGTTATATATATAAATTAGTACCTATGTTTCTTATTTTTTAAATTAAACTATTTTTAACAAATTAAGGAAATAAATTTTGTAAATCAATAATAAATTATTTTTTACTTTTTTAATATTTACAATTAAAAATCTAGCAGATAGATCAAATTTTTACACGCAGAAATTATTCTCGGTTGAGACATCTTACTTTGTGGATTCAACGATTGAATTCAAAACGATAGGAAACCGAATAGACTTTTCGCACACTTAGAGCAATTATTCTTGGTTTCCTACGTTATGAATTTCCTTTGTTGCTTTAACTATTGAATTTTGGCGCAAAGGGGTGCTCCTGTGGGAGGTCCCTTCACGGTAAAGAATCGTTCGTTTTTCTTTATTCTGTGCGAAGGGGAAGAAGTATTAGGAAAACCAGTGGATGTCCCCAAAAAAAAAATTAGGGAAAACCAGTGGCAGTGGAGATCTGATGGGACATCTGTCACAGAAAACAACAAAAAGCAATGTGTACACGAATGAGGCCGGTGTTGTCGGTGTGGCTGGTGTGCTATTTATCAAATTTAAGAATCCAATTGTTGGTATTTAATAATATTAATTTATTAATTATTATTTTTATAAAATAATTAGTTTAAATCAGGAAAGGTATCTCTTTCTCACCTTTCCTTCTCCCGAGTATTGGGTGCTTAACATGGGAAAAAAACACGCTAACAACAACGTTCGAAATTTTAGTGTCAGGTGGCATGTTTGTGGGGGCGACACGTTGGGTGATAGGCTGAATCGCTGATAGCTTGTTGGGAAAAATGTTGTCAAATGAAAATAGGTTAAATGCTAAATTTGGTCACTCAACTTTATATAGTTACACTTTTTTGGTCCCTCAATAATTTTTTGTACTTTTTTGATCCTCACCTTTGAGAAATACACAACGTTAGTTCTTCCGTCAGTTAAGTATGACGTGACTATTAAATAATTCAATGTGGTATTTTCTTTTAATTCTTTTGATGATGTGATAATATCATTTATTATAATTATATTACATAAATAAATAAAAATACCACATCAAATTAATATTTATATTTTAATAAACAATAAAACAAACAAAATTACCTTATTACCCTCACCCTCTCAATTCAATCCATCTTCTTCCCCTTCTTTCTTTCTCTGTCTTTCTTTCCTACCCATCGAACCCAGATAGAACCCAATAGTTGGGTTCGATGGAACCCAAATCAACTGGGTTCGATGGAACCCAAATCAGCTGGGTTCCGTCAAACCTAACTGCTGGGTTCGTTCGGCTGTGCTAGGTATCGATGAACCAACACATCTCCCACTCTTAATCCATCTTCTTCCCCTCTTTCTTCCCTTTTTGTCAAACCCAAATCTATTGGGTTCCATCAATCCCTTTCTTCCCCTCCTTCTTCCCTTCTTTCTTTCTTCCCTTTCTTCTTCCTTCTCTGTCAAACCCAGATCTGTTGGGTTCCATTGAACCCAATAGATTTGGGTTCCTCGAACCCTCTCTTCTCGTCCTTCTTCCCCTCCTTCCCCTCTTTCTTCTCTCTCTGTCAAACCCAGATCTGCTGGGTTCGATGGAACCCAGTAGA